GGATGAGGGAGATAGAGATGAAGAAGAAGGGGAGGAAGACAGAGAGAATGAAAGTGAAGAGGGGGAAGGAGGGGATGAAGAGGGGAGAGAAGAGAAGGAAGAAGGAGGGGGTGAGGAGGAAGAAGAGGAAGAAGAAGGAGGAGAGCAAAAAGGAGAAGAAGAGGAAGAAGAAGAAGAAAGAGAGGAAGAGGAAGAAGAAGAAGAAGAAGAAGAAGAAGAAGAAGAAGAAGGTGAAGAAGTCTCTTCCTTCCTCTCACCTTGTTGATTCCTTGATGTTGGTGTTCTCTTGATGAAGTTTCCTCTCCTTGTACAATCTCCTCTTGGTTATGGTTCCCTTCTTCTCCAAACCCTTCTCTCCTCCTCCCTTGCTTTCTCTCAGGCTATGGCAAACTCCCCCAGTTATGGCTATGGAGTCCTCCCCTCTAGGAAGGCTAATGGGGCTCCTCTAGCCTCTCCTTCTCTCCTACACCCAAGAGGGATATAGCAGATCACCTTCCAAGTGTTTCTTCCACCATCACTATCCTCTAAAGTCCTTTTGACTACCTCCTAGTCTCATTTAAGCTCTCCCACTAGCATGAGCTCCTTCCTTCTCACTCCAAGTGCAAAGATGCTCTTGTGAGCTCACTTGGGCAGCATGGGCGGTCCTCATGCAAATGTGAGAGTGGCGGACTGTATCCTCAGCTTATGTAGGCTGAAACCAACAGTCCGGCCAGCCCATGAGCGTCCCCATGAGCCTTGAGGTGAACCGAGGTACCCCTAAGGCAAAATTCCCTCACTAAGCCCTCCTAGAGGTACCTGGGCCTCATTTTGGCCAAGTACATGCAGTCCGAGTGGTTGGTACCAACTTGGACTGCCTCTTGGCTTACTCCGGCCTCCTTTTTGCCTCACAAATGATGCTCACTTGGGTCCTAGTGCCCAAGGGGCATTTTTACTTGAAAGAAAAAGACCTTGTGGGCCTTTTTCTTGATTTTTTTTAAGTTCGGCCGGAGCATTTTTCCATATGGCGGCACATTTTCAGCCTGAGATCTGGCTGAGATCGAAGGCCAGCAATAATCCGAGCTACCCCCTAGTAGCCCTTGCTTCAATTTTGAGACCTCCTAAGTCCAGTTTTTCAATTTTTGGTGCATTTGGCTCTCTTTTTGGGCCAAATGCACTGTTTTGTCATTTTCCCTCTTTTGTTTCTTTCCATTTTGGGCTGCCACCGTTTTGAGCTGGCCCACAAAAAACAGCTAGTTTCTCTCTACCATGAGATCTAATCTCAGATCCATGGCCCAAAAGAAAACCGGCCACTTCCTTTTTGCATTTTCTCTCATTTTCAGCTTTTTAATTCAGATTTTATTGAGATATGGCCCTTTGGGCCATAATTCTGCAATCCGGATTGCCCTCCCTCATTCTAGGAGGGATGAGGTCACTGTTGGGACCTGCCAGTCCCTACTGTGCAGGTCCCAATAGGCTGGCATACTCTCCTCCACTCTTTTCTCCCTTTTTGTCTCATTCTCCCTCTTTTTTCTCTCATTTTTCGTTCTTTTTCTTTTATTTCTATTGTGACAAGTGTCAAACTGCTGTGTACCCTCTTGCTAATATTTTCCTCGATCTCGACGGTGCCGCTTGCTTGCACAATTATTCCTTGTGTTTGCTTATGGTCCCCTTGGGACATCCCAAGTCCCCGCCATTTTCCTACATGCTAGCTCCATTTCTTTGTCCCGCAGGCGACCCCGTCGGTGCGTGTCCCGTTTTTCGATTTTTTATTATTTGACCCATTTAGTCCCAGGCAACATTCCGGACGGCGTCCCATTTTTATTTCTTTGGGGCCCATTCCCCTTGGTGGTCCCATCATTTCTACATGTGTGCTGATTTTTCTAGGCCGTGAGATCTCATCTCACCGTTGTCGTTTACCGTTTTTACTTGCCCCTTGCCGAAATTGATCCTTTCTAGCCTTTCGGGCTTGCCATAGCCCATTCCCCTTTGGCCTTGGCATCCCCATGCAGTCCGTATTTTCTCGGACTGCAGTCATGGCTGTTTTCTATACCCACAGCCCCACAACTTACCCCATGTTAAAAGAAAATGAAGCGTTAAATTTTTTAGTCCATCCGGGCTCAATATTGACTCCGGATGCATCTAGAACATGTGTTTTCTCTCCCCAATGCAGTCCGTTGCAACTCGGACTGCAATAGGGGTCAATTCCTTAGCCCCAATGCCCCACAACTAGCCCCTACTCAAAAGAAAAAGAAACGGTCCATTCCCAAGTGCATCCGGCCTTGATTTGGGTTCCTGATGCGCCTAAAATATGTGTTTCTCCTCATGCATGTATTCCGTTTTATTTCGGTTGCAAGAGGCCTTGATTTTCTTTGATTTTCTCTGCAAAAATCAAAGAAAATCGAAGTCCTTTGTAACCGYCATATTCCAGAATGAATCTGGTCACGGATGAATCTGGTCACGGATGAATCTGGTCACGGATGAATCTCCCCAAGTGACCGTTTTTTACCGTTAAGGTCTTTTTCTCTTTTCTTTTCTTTTCTTTTCTTTTTTTTGTTTTTTTCCTCCTTTCTTGGACAGTAGGGACTTGCCAGTCCCTACCTATGGCAGTCCCTACTGACGGCCAACTCACTCACTCCCTCTCACTCTTTTTGTCTTATTCTCTCTCGTTTTCGTTTCTTTTCTCTCTTTTTTTCTAGCATGCCAAGTGTCAAGTGGTCATTAAGGCCCTTTTCTAGCCTCTTCCTCTTAGTTTTGGCCCTCCCTATGCCCAAGTTGCAGTCCGTTATTTCTCGGACTGCAATAATGGACTCCCTATGCCCATGCCCATGGGAGCCTCCTTTTACTCCTACATTTCTCCCAAAATGGTCCTTCCTACTCCGATTTTCTCCCGGAGAGCTATTTTTCACATGGGGTCTTATTTGACTCTATTTTTTTGAGGGAGGCTGATCCGAGATTTTTCGGATTTCTCCCATGCCTCCCACTTCAGTTTTCTTTACTTTTTCTTTTCCTTTTGACCTTCCCGTTTGTCACCACTAGTACTTGCACTAGTGGTGCTAATATTCTTGGGCTTCAAGATGTCGATCTTGACGGTGCACCTTGCATTTATTATTTTTCCCTCACGCGGTGCCGTCGTTTCTTCTTGGGACTTTCACATATCCCCGCCACTTGTCCCGTTGGTGGTCCCCGACACTTAGTCCCATCGGTGGTCCCCGACACTTAGTCCCGTCGGTGGTCCCCGACACTTAGTCCCGTCGGTGGTCCCCGACACTTAGTCCCGTCGGTGGTCCCCGATACTTAGTCCCGTCGGCGTTCCCCGACACATTTCGCCCCGGACGCCATTATTTTTACTTAGTCTCACGTGGCCCCGGGTGCCTTTCCCGGAGGTGTCCCATGCCCCTTGGGCGTTTTGTCGCCCCATAGCGACCTCTCTCCTCAGTCTTTCCTTGCGCCTTGTGCGTGTCGATCTCTTTTGGTCGTGGGGCTCTGCTCCGAGGCTCCCGTAGGTGGCCTCCATGTTGGCCCCTCATTTCCTGACTTCCCGCGGCCTCTGGGCCGCCCATCTCTTGGCTTCCTCATTCCCTTATTGTTGTCGCGCTGCAATTGCTAGTTCAAAGGGTCCTTTGGCCTTAGTCTTATTGCATTCCGATGGCCCTCCCGACCTCCTGCTATGTTCTATGTGCCCCTGTTCTTGCGCTCGCTTGCTTGCCGTCACTAGTTCTTTCCTCCTGTGGTTCTCCCCTCAGGGCACCACTCCCTTCTGCGGCCTAATCCTTTGTTTTTTCTCTCTCCTGCTTCCTCACTCCAGATTTCTCTGTTGTGCACAAATTGTCCGTATTCCATCTCTCAAGTGATGGGAAGTTATGCGGGACCCACCAGTCCCGACACCATAATAATGCGGAAGATTCATTCACATTTGAACGTTGAGAGAGAGAGAAAGAGAGAGAAAGAGAGAGAGAGAAAGAGAGAGAGAGAGAGAGAGAGAGAGAGAGAGAGAGAGAGAGAGAGAGAGAGAGAGAGGGCGTAAGGGAGTGTCTAACGTCGAGTTTCGTGGACCAAAATTGGTGTCAGACACTCTCTGACGCCCTCTCTCTCTCTCTCTCAACGTTCAAATGTGAATGAACCTTTCTATCACATTTCAACGTTGGAAGATTTGAACGTTGGAAGATTCATTCACATTTGAACGTTGAACGTGGAAGATTCATTCACATTGAACTTTGAAAGATTTGAACGTTGGAAGATTCATTCATATTTGAACGTTAAGAGAGAGAGAGAGAGAGAGAGAGAGAGAGAGAGAGAGAGAGAGAGAGAGAGATGGCAGACTGCGGCAAAACAGTCCGTGCAGTGCAAGAGACCCGCAAAACATGAGATCTCCCACGTTCAAAAACCATAGCGAGTTTTCATAACAAAACTGCAAAATTGAGCATCATGCCGAATCCCCCAACCGGTTTCACCCGCCCACACGGGATCGTCAGGAGGGTGACTCCAAGTAGAGTCTTTCTGCTCTCAAAAGGGAAGACTCCTGCCTTGTCTTCCGCTATATATCTCTGTATCTTGTCAAAAAACGTCCGTCCGTCTTTGGCCCGTGTCCAAGAAAAGCACCACCTCGTCGTGAAGAACTAAAAACAGAAAGTCCTGAACCCGCCGATCAATACTCGTACCAGCGTTTACAATTCCTGTTATCCTCCATCATGGTATGCCCGTACCCTGTATCTGACTACATCCCAATTCAGTGGAAAACAGGAAATTCCAAAACTTCAAAATTTCAAAATCCCAAAAGTAGTTCCCGTCCGCCTTTCGGGAACCCAGCGCCTACTCGCGCCAACCCAATAGTCTCCGCCTGCTATCCTTCGGACACCAGTACAAGGTCTGGTTGAATCTCCGAACGAAAATATCGTAAATAAATAAATAAATAAAAATAGATAAATAGCAAAACCCGACTAACTAAACTTTTGAATGTTCCCAGGAATCGAGCCAGAACCGGGCTCACACTTCCCCTGGTGGTAGGTGTCTATCCAAACACCGGTGCTGGCTACTCGGCTAGCGATCATCGTCCTTCCGTTCAAAACTTACCTTTCCTCCGTCGCTTCATCCATCCTGCAGTGCACGTCATAGCTGCTAATAGACACCGCAGTGCTCGGTTTGGCACAGCCTTGGCCAACTCGGCCAAGGCTCCGAGAGAGACCTCCGGGGGGTATTCCCGGAGGTCAGCTTCGCAAATGGCATATCCAATTGCCCCAATGACCAATTCCTTGTTCGTGGTGTGATTCCAAAGTCTCTTCAGAATGGTGGTTAACACAGCCTTCTTCACGCTTTTGGCTGTATACGAGTAAAAATCCTGCATCGTCTGGAAAATCAATTTTCCAGTTTCGTGCAAAGATTCGGTGTTCTTAGTGCTCGGTATATAATGGATATGTAGTGGTTCATTACAGATCATCATCGTTCTTCCTACGAAATGCCAAGTTATCCCACATTCGTCCTTACGAATGATCTCCAGGTTCCGGTCATAGTTCTCCTCAAACGCATCAAAGAGGTTATTGGGATAATCCCCATTGTTAGTATTTCCCGGAATCCCAGCTATGATAGTGATATCGTCTATCACCCGCCATCCCCCAATCAGTCTCCTATCAGAGCCGAGTTCCTGGATGAATCGGAGCTCCCCCATCGCGAAGGTAATCGAAGCAAGAATAGGGCTAGTTGACTTCCCCATTGGTATACCGAAGACCTGCTTCACCAGCTTGTCACCACATCTCACCACAGCATGCCGGAGGTCATATCGAGCTCCTTCCATCACCAATTTCAAACTCATGCCTACATATCCATCCATCTTCCCCTTGTTATTGCCGATGATGCACAATTTCCCCCGTCGTGATACCCTGATTTGCTTGCAACCTTTGTCCTCGTAGATCCTCAGCAGTTGATGAATGACTTGTTCCACTGCTCCATGTGGTATTCTGGTAAACATCTCTTTGATGTCGTAGCAGCGTCCGACCGTTATTTCGCATCCTGCCGCTTTGAAACGTTGTGTCATCGCCTCCAGCTTCTCTAGTAATTCCGCTATGGAATTCATATAGAAGGTACAGTTCGTTGGTAATCTCTTCAGGCATGTATGTAGTGCTCTAGCTATCCTTCGTTGTCCCAGTCCCACTGGGTCGGCTGACGCCGGTGCAATAGGTCTCCAGCGTGTGATATCTTTGTGCTTCGGTATAACATAGGCAGTTCCCAGGTGTCCATCCGGTCTCCAGTTACCAATCTGGGTGATCCCGCTCCTCTGATAGTCTACCCTGCTTCCTCTAAGAATCGTCTCCTCGGTGTCTAGAGTTCCCACAAATTCGTAGTTCGCGTTCCAAGAGAAGGTCTTGCCGAAGCCATGCCTATAAAGCACCGGGCATATTACCGCCGTGTTCCCTTGGTTTCTATCAATCGGCGTAAGTACAAGACCGTCGAAGTGCCTCCTCCAAGTTCTTACGTCTTCGTTCGTCCAATCTGCAGTCCCGACAGATAGCTCAGTCAACACCACGCTAGGTTCAACATGTGGTAGTTTTTCGCACTTAAGATGCCGAACCGCTTCGAAGATAGCCTTAGCAATCGTTTGTATCTCACCTGCCTTCACTGGTCTTGTCACATTCTTCGAGTTTTGGACAAAGTCCGGAACCTCCAGATCTGAAAATCTAATGAGAATGTGGCCATCCATCTTCGGAAGTGCCCTGCCCCCACACGGACAAGGATGTTCATCTACGCTTGCATACCTCTTTTGATTATGTATCAGCTCCCCAACGTTCTTGTTGCGTAGCCATAGTACTCGAATCCGGATCTTCACGAAATCAGCCAGCGGTTTATCCTTCACCAGGTCAGTCACCAGATTCTCGGTCGTCTCCCTGACCCCGACTTTATGTATCCATGAATCAAAAAACAACTTTATGTTCACCTGCTTCCTCACACTAACACCGGTCTTTTGGGCGATGATTCTGTCCAGCTTGGTACGTAGCCGATGCTTTGTCCGTTTCTCCGAAAAGAACTCAGAAGTTCTGTACAGCCCAATCAGCTTTTTGGTCGGGAGCTTGATCATCTGAGTATCCGGTCTTGGTCTTCTCAAAAGAGCAGTGAGCATGGCCCTGTTCCGTTCAGTTGTCGTCTTTGCCCTCACGATTCGCTTTAGAATCACCTCGCCTCCCTGTTGCAGCTTTGCCTTAGCGTGCCGCAGTAGTGTCCTCTCTCCACAGACTTCAATATTCGAGTCCCCAAATCTTCGTCTCAATCTCCTCCACCCTTCCATCCATACTTGGCCGCTCGAGAATTCCACCTTGGTATCTCTCTGGTCGCTATTCTTCGCTAACCAATCGCCTATTGAGGCGTATGCTACTCCCTTGTGCACTAGCGTAGTTTCCCGTACGGAGTTGCCTCGACCGTCCTCTCCTCTCCCTTCTACCCCTCCTCTTCCTACCCTTACCGGATTTCTCTCTTTTCTCGAGATCTCGTGAGTTCAGACTCGGACAAAAATCCAAAATCAGGTGCTTCTCGAATGCATAATCATCTGAACTGTCAGCATGCCTGATGGGGATGATCACATACTTATCAATCCCAAATTTGCGTAGCCAGCGGTATAGATGGGGTGCCTGCCCCAGTGCCTCATTCTGTGTATTCCTGGTGCGCTCCCCTCACCTCTGTATTATCGGTGTCACGGTGCATCCGACATAAGTTTTCTTCGACCACGGACTCACAACCGCGTTCACTCCTCCAGTCTTTAACTGCAACATCTCGCTCAAATCTTGTGTCTTCGTCAAGTACTTGAACAGCCAGGGAATTTGTCCCTGTACAGTTAGAAGGAGCTTCGTCGTAGCGATCGTACTTTCGACCTTCCGGGCCACCTCACCAGTAGCATTAAGCCCCCTGAGCACTGCCCTCTGGGTGAACAAAAATTGTAGGTTCTCCCAGAGTTCAGCGTTTGTAGGGGCCGCTAATTGTCAATCTGAATCTCCGGGATCATCTGCTGGTTGGACTGGTGCCGATCGAATAATAACAGGTGTCGCCCGTGCCGTGTGTTTAACCGATGTAGTCCTATCCTTCGTGAACACCTCCGGCGGAGATCCAGAAGCTTTCGTCTTCCCATTGGACCTCCATGTCTCCAGTTCGTCTTCAAAACCTTCGTACGCCAGTTGGACTTGTTGCCTGGCAAGCATCTCCACAACTTCAGGTTTTTTCGTATACTTTATACCCTTCTTCTCACAGATCTTTTTTAATGTATCCGCCTTCTTGGCGGAGTAGATCTTATGGGCAGATATGCAGTAATCTATCAGCCCTCTCTGTGAACATCCCGCGGACAAACCTTTGAAACCACCAGTTAGTGGTGTCATAGGTTCGTCCGCCTCCTCTGCAGCATCCTGCATACTCCCATCCGACTGTCCCGTTTTCCGTTGCCTCGAACATTCTCCTCGTTCGTACACCTTGGTCGGGGTATCTCCCGTTCTTCCCTTGCCCTTCGTACTTGATCGTTTGCTTCTGGGTCTCTTCTTCTGCCGTTCTCTCCTTGCCTTTCTTCTCGCCTGCCGTGGCTCCGAGTCTGATTCTGAATTAGTGGAATCCGTAGACACTTCGTCCGTGTCGTTCGCCTCCTCCGTGTCTTCGTCGGTAGTTTCCCTTTCCTTCTTTCTTCTCCTCTTCTGCTGTTTGCCCTTGCGTTTACCCTTTGCACCTCTTGTCGGAGTCTTAATCTTCCCAGGTTTCTTCGTCTTCTCCATCGCCGTTGTCGCTTCATCTTTCGTCCTCCTCCATTCTTCCATGAGTTCGGCGCGTAGTTGCAGCTTGAACTCTTCCGCTTTCCTGGCGAAATCTTGATTCCTCCTCACCTCCTCTTCCTCTTTCGCCTTGCGTTCCTCCTCTAGTCGCCGTTTCTCCTCTATCTCCAGACGTTCTCTCATGATCTGCCTAAAGTGCTCTTTCATCTCGTCGAGTTTGGGGTCACCTTGTTGGGGGGCAAATCCCCTCTCCCTCCTTGCTGACCAGCAATCGCGGGCGAAGTGCCCCGGTTTTCCGCAATTAAAACATCCGTTGTTGCCGCCACGTCCACCTCCATTACCGAGATAGCTCTGGCCTCCTCCGTATTGGTTCGCTCCCCCGCTTAGCGACCTTCCGTTAGCGTAAGGCTGCCCGTTTTGTCCGTTTGCCTGCTCGCCCCCACTGGGACCATTAGTCAGGTACATCTCTGCTCGCTCCTTAATTGATAATCTCCCAAAACACGTCAGCGTACAGTCGAGTCGCCAATCTTCCTCGCGTTCTCCTCTAGTGTCGTCTTACTAAATACTCACTCATGTATATATATATACCCTCGCCACCGAAATACCTTCCAGTTACTTCGAAAAATATATCTCGAAGACCGCTACTCGGAATATCATTAATTTCTCCCTCTCCGATATCTCTGTCCGCTAATCTCTCGCACTGTCAATCGTCCCGATCCTTCTTACAGCGCTCATTACTCAGTCTTAATCGCCACCTCGGTATTACGTCGTTTATTCGTCGCCCCCTACCATCGATCTGCATGCTATTCTCTCCATATGTCGATTATCTCGCGGTATCTAATTCTGCGCCTAGTCCTCAGCACTAGTAATGTGGTTTCGATCTTTATCAGTAAACCCATCAGCATGTCATACAGCGCCGAGCGCAAGCTCTCATTATGAATGAAACCGATCATCAAGTGCATTGGTTCTACGGTATCTCTCACATAATCCTCAAGTGCTTGGATCAACCTCGTCCTAACTGTGGCCCGTCTTCTAGTGCGCGTGCTCCCATCTCCGCTATTCTCCCGATTATCCGATATTTTTCAGCATGCCGGTCCCACCAAAATCACTCCTATCCCCAAGCAAATGAACCCTATACCAAATAAAACTAGCTGGATCGTTTTCCCACTTTTCCTCATCTCGATCGTGATGAGTCCGTCCAACACACAAATACCTCTGTTAACCAGTCATGGATCTCGTTCATTCATCATACCAATGTACGCAGGTAATCCACACCAGTCCTCCGTGTTCGATGATGGTGTCACCTCAACCGGTCACGTTACTTCCTTACTCGTGTTCGCCTTCAATCTTCTCGTCCCCTGAGTATCAGTTCAAAAAAACTCCCTTGCAACAGTTAGATCCCACATGTCGACGCAGCCATCGTGCAGCGCGTGCAGCTGGCGGTTACTACGAGTCCATGAGATGGCAGATTGCGGCAAAACAGTCCGTTCAGTGCAAGAAACCCGCAAAACATGAGATCTCCCACGTTCTAAAACCATAGTGAGTTTTCATAGCAAAACTGCAAAATTGAGCATCATGTGGAATCCCCCAACCGGTTTCACCCGCCCACACGGGATCGTCAGGAGGGTGACTCTAAGTAGAGTCTCTGTGCTCTCAAAAGGGAAGACTCTTGCCTTGTCTTCCGCTATATATCTCTGTATCTTGTCAAAAAACGTCCGGTCGTCTCAGGCCCCTGTCCAAGAAAAGCACCACCTCGTCGTCAAGAACTAAGAATAAAAGGTTCTGAACCCGCCGGTCAAGACTCGTACCAGCGTCTACAATTCCGATTATCCTCCATCGTGGTACGCCCGTACCCTGTATCTGACTACATCCTAGTTCAGTCGAGAACAAGAAATTCCAAAACTTCAAAATTTCAAAATTCCAAAAACTATTCCCGTCCGCCTTTCGGGAACCCAGCGCCTTCTCATGTCAACCCAACAGTCTCCGCCTTCTATCCTTCGGACACCAGTACGAGGTCCGACTGAATTTCCAAACGAAAATACCGTAAATAAATAAATAAATAAAAATAGATAAACAGCAAAACCCGATTAACTAAACTTTCAAATGTTCCCAGGAATCGAGCCAGAACCGGGCTCACACTTCGCATGGTGGTAGGTGCCTATCCCAACACCGGTGATAGCTACCCTGCTAGCGATCGTCGTCCTTCCGTTCAAAACTTACCTTTCCTCCGTCGCTTCATCCATCCTGCAGTGCACGTCATAGCTGCTAATAGACACCGCAGTGCTCGGTTTGGCACAGCCTTGGCCAACTCGGCCAAGGCTCAGAGAGAGAGAGAGAGAGAGAGAGAGAGAGAGAGAGAGAGAGAGAGAGAATGAGAGAGAGAGAGCGAGAGAG